GCTTGTAAAGAAAGAAACTTGATTGTGATAAAGGGATCTTTGGTTACTTAAAACTTGGAAATTATAAATATTAAATGTTAAATTTGAATATTAATGGGAAACTAAAAATTGGGGAAAAACTAATTAGGACATCGATTGTCTACAAAGACTGAATGTTAAAATAACCAGGATATGTATAAGCCAAAAATTATCGATAAACGTAAGAATGTTATTTTTATTTAATTGATATGATAAGAATTGCATTAGTTTAAACATGAGACAGTAAATACTAAGGGGAAAAGAGAGGAAATATTGAATGTGGTAGTTTGAGACTGGCACTAAAAGATACTTGTATGTCATTGAGTTATCAATTAACTCAGCCGCCACGTTGCTTTTTAAATACTTAAATCTAAAATTCGAAAATCATTAATTAACCAGTGGAACAACCTGCCTCCAGAAGCGGTGAATGCTCCAACACTGGAAGTTTTTAAGAAGAGACTGCACAGCCATTTGTCCGAAATGGTATAGGGTTTCCTGCCTGAGCAGGGGGTTGGACTAGATGACCTCCAAGGTCCCTTCCAACCAATAATAATAATAATAATCTATATAAATAAAAATGTAAATGTTCGTTTGTTCAAAATCTTAAATCTCCGAAAGTTCTTCACCGATTGCTTTGAAATTTTGACACAACGTTGCATTCGAATACGTGCGTGTTTTTATATACCTATATTATATAGATGTCACACCTGTGACAGGTAAAAGCATGCTTTTTTTGAAAAACAGCACCATCTGTTGGATGTAAAAGCAACACACGCTTTTACCAGACTGAGCCACAGCAACGCGTGGCCGGGTACAGCTAGTAATAATAATAAAAAAAAACGTTAAAAAAAAGAAACTTGATTTCCTTGTTTTCTTCTGTTCTTTCAGCTGAGCTTCCACCATGGACATCCAGGAGGCGGACCTCAGAGAGATGGCCTCTATGATCCAATCAAAAGTTGTTCTGGAGGTGTCTTCTCAAATCCAGTCACTGCTGGATTCTCTAGAAACCACCACCCTGGACATCGCAGTGACGGGCGAAGGTGGGGCTGGCAAGTCCACCTTCATCAACGCCATGTTGGGCATCAGCAATGATGACTTCTGTGCAGCCAAAAGTGGTGTGGTTGAGACCACTGCTTCACCCACTCCTTATCATCACCCTCATCTGCCCCGTGTTCAGCTTTGGGACTTGCCAGGCATTGGTACCCCTTCCTTCCGAGCCGAAAATTATCTGCAGCAGGTGAGGTTTGAGAGATACGATTTCTTTATCATCCTAGCATCCGAGCGTTTCCGAGAGAACCATGCTGAGCTGGCTCGGGCCGTGGCGAGCATGGGCAAGCGTTTCTACTTTGTCCGTTCCAAGATAGACCAGGACCTGCGGGCTTCCCAACAAAGAAGACCAAGCTTTTTCCAGGAAGTTCAAGTGCTGCAGCAAATGGAGGCAGACTGTGCCCGCCAGCTGAAGAAGGAGGGCCTGGAGAACCCCAAGGTCTTCTTGATCTCCAGCTTCCATTTGCACAGGTTTGATTTCCACCGCTTGCAGGATACTCTGGCTGAAGAGCTGGAGGGTCACAAGAGGCACACCCTGCTGCTTTCCTTTCCGTCCGTCACCGCTGCAGCTGTGCAGAGGAAGAAGAGTTCGCTGCGCCCGCACATCTGGAAGAAGGCGCTGCTGGCCTGCGTTATTTCAGCCCTGCCTGGCCATCCCTTCCACCTCAACGTCCCCATGCTCATGAAGACCCTCAAGACATACCAGCAGCATTTTGGCTTGGATGGTGCTTCTTTGGAGACCTTGGCCACCGCCGTCTCAAAACCCTGTTGTGAATTGAGAAATCAAGTGCGTTCGACATTCGCCAGAGACTTTTCCGAGCATGCCGTCCAGGCAGTTTTGAGCCAAGCTGCAGCCTGCGGGCAGGTGACGGCCAGAATGGTGAAGAGCCAAGTGCCCGTTTTCAACAACTTGGTAGCAGGGGCCCTCTCGTTTGTGGCTGCCTATTATTTGTTACACACCGCTCTGGATAGCCTTGCAGAAGACGCGCAGAGCGTCTTGGAAAGAGCGTATGGCTTGGAGACAGAGGTCCAGGGATCCTTTTGTTATCCTTCACTGGGCTTCACCTGCGAATGAAGATGATCGAGAACACCACCCAAAATTGCTTGGAGATGGACACGTGTGTGTTTTCTCTCTTGCTGCTTCTTGTTTTCCCCATGTG